TTTTTTTTTTTTTTTTTTTAATTGGCCTTTTTATGCAATAAAAAGGAATATACCCAGAACACCTAGTCGGTAACCGGTAGGCAGTGGCTCAATGCCTAACATGACGTAGCGCCTTCTAGAACACTGGAATTAAGAAATTATAGCAAAATGTTTAAAGATTAATAAGTTTTCAAAGTTAATAAACATTTCAAGATACAACCCAATCTAAGTTTTGCCTCACAATTTGTTAATCCCAAGCAAAAAAGCACCAACACAGAAAACCCAACAAAGGAATAACACAGAACCAAGTGCTGCACCAAGATTTTGCCCCAGCTAGCAAAATCTCGGTCACTTGGTCTGATGAATTGAACCTTAAGATAATTTTCAACATGGGATGGAAGGAAAATAATGAGCAATCCATGGCACAAGAAGAACAATCTAAATATCTATTGAATGAGAATGTTCTTTACCTCTGCTTCATGGGACGGCGTGCATTATAAACAGAGATCCACTGAGTTGCAGGGCTGCCTAATCGAACTTTCTTCTTTGGTTGCTCATCTTCTTCCAAATTAATAAGTAATCTCCCCCGCTTTTGCCCAACCTATTTGGAAGAAAAAGAAGTTAATCAATTTAAGTACTCTATTCAACTTAAACTAATGAAAACGGCATAACAACACCTTAAGAGCTCCATCAATTCTTATTGGTCTTAGTGTGCATTGTTCAATTAGGGTATCAAAGAAAGATATCAGCTTTGCATAATTGGGCTCCTCATCAAACTTCATATTTGTAACAGCTTCAAGAAACTGTTTGAATGGGGAAGGACAGAAGCAACACATCAACTCTGGAGAAGTAGCCATCTTTTTTTTGCAAACAAGAAAACTCTTGTTATCCCCCTGAAAATAAAGTCAGTAAGTATAAATAAAAGGTATAAATAAAGGGAAAAAAAAAATCAAATTAAATGAAAATTTCTAGAAGTTGGACACATTAAGGCAATAAAAACCACCTGGTATCCTTGCCATGGTAACCGTCCTTTTATGAGAAATATCAATGTGTATGCAAGTGACTCTAGGTCATCCCTTCGACTCCCAGTCCGGCCTAAATGTGCATGCACACTTGCATACCTTATTGTTCCCCTACAAGGAAAAAAAAAAATCCAAAATATTATTAACAAGGTTGAGAACTTATTTGTGAATATTTGAAAGAAGAAAGCCCACACACCTGAATACATCAGGCCTCTGATCATAATCAACATGTTGACCAGACTGCGCATCTTTCCATCTAGATGCTGAACCCAAAAAGACACATTAATGAAACCAGCAAATATATACAAACTTGGAAACAGCACTTATTATGCCAACATGTTAAAACACTCAACAGAAAATAAAAACTAATACCCATAAGAGTGATGTAGAAACATGCAAAATTACACTTTTACTAAGTCGTGCTTGTTCTTGATAACTAAGAGAGAGTATGCATAACAGAGAGGAAGAATAACATACCCAAACCAAGATCAATAAGATATAACTTCTTCTCATCAGCTGTTCCAGGTTGACCAAGCAAAAAGTTCTCTGGCTTCACATCTCCATGCACAAACCTTGTTCCACAAGAGGATTTAACAAAGACAGTTATTACACTGGACATCAGGAAACTGGGGATGTAATTAAATATAAGAAAGTAAAATCCTGAAGCTGCAATGGAACCTACCCCTTTACATGAAGCTTTTCAAGAATTGATATTGCCTCCACTGCAATGCAGGCAGCCATGGTTGGTGCCATCCTATTGTAGAGACGAACATGTTAGAAAACTGAAAGAGCAATTTATGTGCACATGGGAATTTGTCAATAGGCATTTAAGGAGAGCAGAGATTTATTTCTTACGATTGCCCTAGGGAGTTCCAAACATCCCATAAACTAGGTCCAAGCATGTCCATGACCTGAAATACATTTATTAATTACAGTACATTAAGAAGATCTGAAATAAAGATGGTAAGGTATTAATATCAAATCTCACCAGAATGTAGAAGTCTCCTTGCCGACCCTTGTAATGTACCCAAGGAATCCCATAACATCCATTGAGATTACTGTTTCCATTTCATGAGCAGCAAACCAAAAAAAAAAGTGAGGAATCAAATCATATAATCAATCAAAATCTGTAGAGTCCAAACACATAAAGCAATGATGTGCAAATCTAGACAGTAAAGTTGCAATACTAACTTGTACACTTGCCACTCATACGGAGGGCCATAATTACAGCCTTTACTATTCCTGTGCTCAAGCTTCAATGCCACCTGAAGGAAAAGATTTAAAGATTTTCACAAATTACATCCAAATAGTTTACACTTGAAATTCCTTAAACTTGGATACAAACTTTTCAGTCATACCTCAATTGCATCTGGTCCAGTTCTGTCACTGCCACCACTTACCCTTTGGCCAACATAAACTTGACCAAAACCACCCTTGCCCAATTTTCTTTCGACCTTATACACAGGTGAATTACCCACTTGCACCTACAACCAATTAGATAACTTGAAATAATCAAAAGAAGAGAAATCATTACACTAACACCCAGCATTAAATTACAATAATTCTCAGTTTCATTTAAAATTGGAATGAACTTCCTCAATATCGAATAGTTTCAACCAGGTTTGGAAAGGGGAGATGAAAAGTTATTGATTTGTTAACATTTTTCGTTACCTAGAAAGAACACAATTTGAAAAATCATTGCATTAGCAGTTTTGTTGGAGAGTGATATATTTGACAAGGCAGATTAATAAGTCAGGTTTAATGAGCACTAACAACCAAGTAATGAATGGAAAAGAAGGTAGCAGGTGCCAAGCAGAAATACCCTTTCAGGAACTGGAGTTGTAGTTGCTTCTTCTTCAGCTCCAATTATTTTCTCTGCGCTGCCACCCTGCATTGCAATATCTTT